CTGTTCTAGAAGCAAGATTGAGTATCCATATCCATATCTGACAAGGTAGACTTGAAGCCAAACTTAGCCAGAAACGATTAAGAATACTACTATATATTAATAAAGAGGAAACTCATCAAGAAGAAATACTAATTGTAAGATTGTATACACTGAGTATTGGTGTACTTTCAGGAAGCAAACTTGAGGGATATGCTGGTCATATGATATGATACAGTAACAGTATTCCAACAACCCATCAGCAGCAGCAAGTAGGCAGATCATCCAGACAAAAAGTTCACAGGGAAACCCAGCATCAAACTACACTACAGCTCACACAGGCTTACCAGGATTCTGTGGAATATGCCATCCAACCTCTACAGAGTGAATGTCTTCTCAGAAGCCCGCAAAACCTTCTTTAAAATAGTTCACAATTTGGACCACAAAACAAGTCTCAACAAGCCCCAAACTGAAATAATTTCTTGTGTTGTATCATGTCATAATGGAAGAAAACTAGAAGTCAACAGCAAGAGAAATGTATAGAGTGTATGCAGAAATATTCAAACACACTGAAGTTGAAAATACAACTTTTAATAATTAACAAATCATAGAAGAAATCAAAGAAAAATTAAAATTTTCCTAGAGTCTAATGAAAAGTCAAAACACTACATAAATAAGTCCAGAATTGTGGATTATCAAGGGTTGAGAAACACACTATTGAGCATATATATATGTATCTATATCTATATCTATATCTATATCTATATCTATATCTATATCTATATCTATATCTATATCTATATCTATATCTATATCTATATCTATAGTCCATATATGCACATGGCCCAGGTGTGTGATAGGCTCCTGTAAATACTTTTACCTAAGAACATATTTCTCAGAACCTATCCCTATTTATAAGTGAGGAATAACAATAAACACCCACATACACACCACTAAAATTAACCCTATTCTACAAATCTTGTCATATATTTTTCCCAGTTCCATCCTAAAATAAAAAATAAGGCTACAGAAATGAAATGAGTCAATACTATGTGAAAAGTTCAGGTCTGCATGCACTGCAGTCCACTCTTTGGGCCATCTGAAGTGGCTACGCGTTATTCTGTTGTAGGTTTAACTTCGTGTGTGTTAAATATCAAACGCTGTAGACATCACACCTTAAAAGAGGTACAAGTTACATGCAAATGGTGACAATGAAAAATTTAATAACCAGCTCTTAATCTATCATTGAGATCAAGAGTATTACTATGTCAAGAACAATATGTTCATTTTAATTAAAAAATGAACGATCTCTTCTGGTCCCACTTTTGGATTTATTGTCACTATGAAATGTCTTTTCTCCCATCTTCATATGTTTCTAAGTTACTTAATGTTTTTTGATAATGTAATTATATTTTAATTAAAATATATTTGAAAAATAAAAGTGAAAAATAAATAGAATTAAAAATGGAAAAAATCAATGTGGCTCACAGAAAGTGGTAGTGGTACATGCTAGGTAACTGCTGGTCATCATCAACACACACTCACTTCCCCATGCTCCCTCGAAACACCCACACACACGAACAACACCCACACACATCCACACACACATCCACACACACAACACCCACACACATCCACACACACATCCACACACACACACCCACACACATCCACACATCCACACACACATGTAGAACACCCACACACATCCACACACCACACACATCCACACACACCCACACACAC